ACCTCTCGTCAATATGCGTTTTTCGCATTGCATTGCTGCAAAAAACGCATAAAAAACGACCGCTAAATGGAAATTGTTTATTTCCTTTTATGCAATATTTACGACGATTTACGGTGAGCGCATAAGGTCGGTGTGAAGAAACAACCGTTCATGCAATTAAACTAATTACTTCAAGTATGGTGCAAAAACGCATGAAACGCACCGGCTCGCCTGGTGTCTTTCAGTCTGGGTTTTGTACAGGGACTAAGGTTTTTTGGGGCTTCGGGCTTTCTATGCGGAGAAATTGAGAATAATTTAAGTTCGGAAGGTCTGAGTTGCTCAGAGGGTATCAGAGAACGCAGCTGTATTTGTGTTACTTTAACTCAGCGATGCTGGTAGCACGGGCTGAATATTTTTTTCTTTCTTTCAAATCATTTCATTGGAGCACAGCATCAAGGTTGCGATGCTTGAAGTTATTATTGTATCTAGCGAATGTAACTTAGCTGTAAGGCACCGAAGTCTTCCCCCATTCCCATTTACTACGAATGCTGAGTTTTCGCAACCACAGCGGTCAAAGGCGTCATTAGTCATGAAAGTGGAACAAGGGAGAGAGCAGTCGTCTGTTCACCTATCCGGTGAAGTAAGCACAGCAAGAGTGAGCAAAGTTGAATTACTTTTCTTTTTGGGCAAGGATGACGAAGCAGCGTCTTCTTTGTCTGCCTTTTTCGGCACGTCTTCCGCTTCACTGTGATGATGCTGTTGCTGCTGTTGCTTCCGGTTAGGTTCGTTACTGTCGTGTTTCGTAGACTCTTGATCCATTTCAGTTCCCTTGCATGCAAGCATTCCCGGTCGATAGTGTATACTGGAAAGGCAGCAAAACCTTTTTTTAGGCGTTTTTGTTGTGCACTGCTGCTACAGCCAGCAACCCAGGCTGGAACGCACCGGGCCTTCGGTGCAATCATGCGTTTTTGCATTAAACTCGCAGATCACTGTTAGGAAAAATGATCCCTACACAGTAGTCTAACATTTGGGCTCATATTGGCCGTGCTTTGGTCCTTTCCGGCTTGCACGAGCAAAGGCGTCAGTTGAGACGAAGGTGGTGCATTATAGAGTCACACGAACATCCAGGTGCATGATTACAGGTTTTTTGCATGAAGTCCGATCGTTTTTTTCGGTAAATGCTCGCTTTGTGAAAAAATGACAAATGTAAATGTTTTGAGAAAATGCAAATTTCCAGTTCACTAAAAAGTGAAAGTGTTGCTCGAGCGGTCTTTGTCAAAAAATGCACGATCATTTACAAATACGACTGCGGCTAAGGTCCGAGCTGCAAACGAATTTTTGAAACATGCAAATTTTTAGTTCATTGAAAAATTGAAAGTATTGCTCGAACGATCGTTTTTCAAAGAATCCATGTTCATT